CCGTCTAAAACTTGGGCGTAAATGACTGCAATAGATCCGAAAATAGTTTCTAAACTGCTATCAATTCATAATTAATTTTTAAAAGTGTAATATTTTAATTTTTTTTGAGGGTAATTAAGGATAGAACTCTACACTATTTGGTTAGAGACTTTGATATAATGTCATGAACCATCTCTCTATAAAATTAAAGTTGTTAGGTAAAAGAGTTCACCAAAAAAAAAAAATGTTTGGTAAAAGGAACATGAATTATTTTGTATTATATTCCTAACAAATCTAATTGCGGACATCACAATTATCTAAACCATATACAGGTAACATTCGATAAATATTCAACCAATTAGGTGGACCACTATTGCTAGCATAATATTGAAGCTTTTGATAAACAAAGTCAATAAAATTAAAATACCCCTTGCACGTGGGTAAAAAGCATGCAAACGGAGGACATGTTGAAATAGAAAAAATGGTGGACCACAAAATAGTTAAATTTGAAAACCATATATCTTAATTATCAGTACTAATGGCCGGAAACGTATGGTCCATATGTCATATTAAACCTGCATCTATCTTCTTGTTCTTTTGAGTTAATGCTCACTTTCTAATACAAAATTTGGAAGTCTATATTAATGGGACAAATGGACAAGTTATATTAAACAAGAGATGTCTCTTAATATTGGCAATATTTGAGTAGCCCAACTCATTAAATGCGATACATTTCAAAGCCCGTTACAATGAAATAATAATTGGTCATAATTAATATTATTAATTAATATGACTACATAATTAATAATTTGTCAAATGCTACAAAATATAAATTTTCATTATTAATGTTACTTAATAATTAAAAAAATTCTAAATAATGGTTAAAGTTAATCAATAAAATAATTTTAAAACAACATGGTAGGTTGAGAAAATATTAAATTTCCATTAAAATTAACTGAACACTTGACGTTTTCAACTTAAATTAAAGCTTGGGGTTATATGAGGGAGTTATTTGAAAGAGTGAAACGACGAGGGAAAAGTTTAATTTATCCCCATTTTTATAAGATCAAAATGCTGTCAATTAATAGCTGCTTACAACAAAAATACTCATACGTATCAAACATATAATCAATTTAAATGAAATTACTCAAAGTGGGTTTCAAACTTTAAAACATGAGAAAATCTTTTTGAAACAAAAAGTCGCCTATTAAATGACTAAAAGGAGATAACAACACAAATCTTTAATTATTCTCCAAAAAAAAAAAAAAAAAAACACAAATCTTTAATTTATTTTGTCCTATCCAACATTTTCCATATGCAACAGTGAATGAACCCAAATTGCTCACGGGCCTTCTTTTGCACCAAACCCACTATTTTCTCGACCCACTACCACTGGTACCTTGAGTTTTTGGAACCAACCCATATCATCCATTTGTATGAGACTTATGATATCGTTTTATATATATATCATAGAAATGATATATATATATATATATATATATATATATATATATATATATATATATATATATATATATTATTGATTCATGGATTACTCAACTAATTCGATTTGAATTAGATATGATTATATAAGCAATAAAGCTTCAAGTTTTAAGTTGATACCCATGCTTAGTGTTGACTTTTTTATACTAAACTAAATTCGGGTGAATTGCTTTTTCTTTTTTTTATCTAGCCTCATTTTTTTTTTTAAACGTCGTTAGGGTTTTTCAAGATAATTATCAACTAAAATTTAAAACAGATAAATGATATTTTTGTCGCGTTAGTTTACAGATACTCACTTGACATAAGAAGAGCATAGGAATCATTAGAATACTGATCGAAATTTAAAACATAATTGAAACATTTTTAAAGTTTACAAATTTCTAAATGGCTTAAAGTTTACAAGGATAAAAAAAAAAAATTCATAGAGGTGGAAATCGACTCGTTATAAAGTCATGACATGGTATAATTCTTAAAAAAAATTATAAAAATACTTAGATCAGATGATATAAAAAATTATTAGCAAAAACAAATAACCTAAGCCTAAACTTTCACTTTTTATTTACATGAATAAAACGTACGTCCGTTGTTTAAGCTTGTTTGTGATTTTATTTTTTTTAATAAAGTTACAACATGTATATTACTTATATTAACCTATCTCATATTTCATTTAAAAGTTTTCATTAATAAAATACATATATTATATGAATAATAATACTATAAATACCTGATCAACTTTATCTGGATTTTATTCGAACAAAAAAGCCCCTAATGTATCATAATTTATTGAAGTTCTGTGGCTGGGAAATAATCGGGTAGATAGCCACTTTATGTCTTTTGTCAAACATATAATTATTTGTCTTTAATTAATATAAACATATAGTTATCATATCATTTTGTTCAATCAATGATTTATTTGCTACCTTTAAAAATATTATTAAGCCAGTACGGTTAGTCTAATACTGAGGGGTGTGAGTAGTTATGTTATGTAATAAGGTATGAGTTTAATTTCTCAATGTATTAAAAAAATAAAAAATATTATCGAAAGTGACAATTGATAACTTTTGATTTTGATGCATGGAAGAATATTAACCATTAATAATTAAATCAACGGTAATGATTGTGTAACTTTTTATTCTTATATTTTTTTTCTCTCCTCCCTTATCACCATTAACTCACCCATGTATGATTAAGATTACCCCACATGACATAGTCATGTTAATTAGCACATGAGAAAATCAACTCCCTAATTATAACAAAAAACTGTTAATATATCAGACAAAACTTTGTTGTCTAATTAAAAAAACTTACGCAATTATGTTGTCAAAACCATTACCGAAAAAACTATTATCTATACCTAATATCCAAATTAATGAGTAAATTGTTATCAAATAAAAAATAAAAAATTAATGAGTAAATTAATTTAACAAAAATATAAATGGTTAATTCAGTATGAGAATTAATTAAAATATATTCACTTAATCCTTGAATTTGGACCCTTCTCTTAAGAAAGATATATTGAAAAAAGGTAAAAAGGAGCAAGGATTTGGACCATCATATCGGAATAGATCTTTTTTATGCGAAATTTATAAAAATCTATCAAATTGACATAAAATTTGTGATTTGAAAATTTGATACGAGAGAATACATTCTCTGCTTTTGTAGTAAAACCAGCGTGTCAAGAACATTGAAGTCGGCTTAAAAAGCTTGTGCCTTGTCTAGTCGGCAATGGTATTGGTATTATATCATTTATTATTTTTATTTTCCTTTTTCTCTTTCTCAGTCGATCGACATCTAATGCCGCTTTATATGATTCATTCTTCTCTGACTCATCTGCCACGTGTCTCCACCCCAGACCTTACTCTTTTTTCCATCCTCTTTGGTCCAATTTCCCTTTTCCTAATATGCTAATCAATTATTATACTTGTAATAAATGGATTAATATTTCTCGAGAGATAAACATAGATCTATATGGGATTATATAGAAAAAGAGAGAAAAAAAAATATGAATTTTATATATTTTAATTTATATATAAGATATAAAAGTATATCTTATAATATGAAAAATATTAATTCATTTAATAAATTATCAACAACTTCTCATGTTAATATCAATAAACACTACACTAGTGAATGAATCAGATTAGAAAATACTAAAGTTGTTTTTACAATATATGTTGTTAAACTTTCTTATAAAAGTTCAGAAATTTATTTAATAATCTTAATTTCTAAAAAGGAAAAAATATCAATGTTATTAAATATGAACCGGTTCAATTGTATGACCTAATAAATACATGTAAATCATATAAAAAAACTATTAATATCCTCACATACCTATAAAAAAATGATATTAATTTCAAATATTTTAATATGAAAAGCAATAAATACACATCATTGTCCAACAAAAGATCAATCAAATATATAATACTTGGTTTACCAAAAAAAACATATAATACTTGTGATACTGATGTTTTAAATTCAGTAGACAACATCTCTAACTATAAATTAAATCAAAATTTCATGTATATTGCATAACCAAGATAATATTAGTGTTGTAGGACATAACCTATGTAAGTCAATAAGGAACAGATCACTCAAATATCTAAAAAGAAAATAAATCACTTTTGTGTGAGAATGAAAAAAAAGAAAAGAAAGACATTAAGAACAAATTAGTTTTTTATTTTTTGTATGAACCAGATCGGTCACCGATTGAACAAATGGGGTCATTGATGTTTACAAAATTTAGTTGAGTCGTGCCGGTTCTCTTACATGGCCGATCCAATATGAAAATCGGACTGATTATATGACTCATTCATCAATTTTCTGGTCAATTCGGTTGCATCGATTTAGTTTTTATAATATTGGTTAAAACTAGTATTTTTTATTTTCTATTTAATTTAAAAAAATTACTTTTTTCTATCATGATTTATGTTTTTTCTTACCATAAAATACATTAATTTTGACTATAATAACACAATTTTATGTCTTTTAAGAGACTTCTGAAAATATATGATTATATGTAGCTAATTTATTATTGATTTTAATATTAAAAATTTTATTCTTAAGAAAAAGGAAACCAAAATGATAGGAAAGAATTTAATCAATGTGTAGGGTCCCATGTTTGATCGTAAACCAAAAGGCAAAGAAAAAAAAGTAATACTTTTACAATAAATAAAATAGTAATTTTTTAAAAAGAAAAATACTTTGTAAATTGAAAAGGGAAAGAGAAGTAGAAAAGAAGAATATTTCTTTTTTAACGTAAGGGGGGGAAAAATGTTAATGCAGTGTTCTTTGATGCCTCACGTTCTTTGTGCTTTTTGCAAGGGACCTTTCGTTGAGAAAGGTTTTTAGTGCAAGTGTGAAGTATGTCTATCCTTGAAAAGTTGTCTTCAGAGTGAAAAAGAAAAAAAAAAGTCTTCTCTTTTTCTCATTCATATATTTGATTCTTCCTCTGTTTCTGTTCTATGTAATGGGTGTTTGAGGTGCTTAGTTTCAGAGTGTTCAACACCAACATCAACATCATGTCTGAGACTGAAGGTATCAGGCTATTTGGCAGGAAGATTCCGTTACCGGAATATCAGATTCCGGCCAACTCTGGAACCGTGGTACATACTTTTAGATATAGCCGACAATAACCATTTAAGCTCCTTTCTTCAAAAATCATGTTTTTTCATTATCCTATGTTGTTATTAATCATTGATTATGTAATTGGGTGGGACGTAAATTCTGGATTTTTATTTTATTTAAATATTTATGGGGGGTTTTTAAGAACTTTTATTATGTTCTGGGTGGCTATCAGAGTTCATTTCAAGCTTCAAAACGATCTGAAATTTAAAGGGTATTGTTGTTTCTTAATAATAGAGGTTTTGTAACTTCTGCTAACATATACGAGGATGGCATGATTAAGAATATTTGTGTGTATGTGTGTCTCATGTTCTTCAGACTTCAGATTCATGTAAACAAAGGCGGTTTTTAGTGGAAGCAAGTTGCACTGATGAAATAAAACATTGAACTTGTTTCATTTTGAATTGGAGCATTTTTTTTAATTGTGATGGAAGATGGCTGTTTCATCTGAAGACCAGAAACTTTTTACAACCGAGATTGATTTTCAGATTGGATCTTGTAATCCCTTCTATATATCTCTTGGCTTGATATGTTCCAAAGGATTTGGACCTCTTCATAGTATTAGTGACATTCATAGACAATAATATCTTTGATGGCCCATTTTTAATAATAGTCTTACTGTCTAGCAATTCAAGTATATGTATTCAGTTGAATGCTTGGTCAATAGTAGATATATTTATTTTTCATGGATATGATATATAGAGGTTATGCTCATATTGAGTGATAATGAGATAAGCTGAAATTGAGACATAGGTACTTTATATTTATATATGTAAGACAGGACATGGTTATCCAAAAGAAGTAAGGATCAGGACTTACGAAATAGATGCGTCTTAATGTAAATGCGTGTAATAGTTGAATTATCAAAGGTATTAAAGTTATAGTGATTACCAGCTATGGGGTATTTTGTAGTACATGATGGAAAATGAATATAACATGAAAATTGTGTACCTTGCTTTTGTTTCTTTGTCAATTCTTCTGGTATGTTTTTTTTATTCTGCTTGATTTATCATTGATTGTGGTTTAAATTTTAGGATGCTTGCAGCAGCATAAAGAAAACACAAGTGGAAATACCTTGTGCAGAAAACTCTGAGCAACAAGAGAATTCTTCTGATTTAAGGGATAGTAAACAAGAGCCCCAACATAATGTGCAGGAAAATGAGCTAATAGTAAATCCCAAGCCTGTGGAAGATAATATGAAGTCTGGTAGTACAGATCAAGATAAAATCTTAAAGAAACCAGACAAGATTCTTCAGTGTCCACGATGCAACAGTTTGGACACCAAGTTTTGTTATTTCAACAACTATAATGTTAATCAACCTAGGCATTTCTGCAAGAACTGCCAAAGGTATTGGACTGCTGGTGGAACAATGAGAAATGTTCCCATAGGTGCTGGGAGGAGGAAGAATAAGCACCTAGCCTCTCAATACCAGCACATTATAGTAACCTCTGATGGGATTCCAACATCAACAGACTCATCTGGTCACCAACATATCTCAGGTCTAGAATCCTCAGCTTCTTTCATGTCTTTGACAGATAATGGGACTGTATTGAAATTTGGTCCAGATACCCCTCTCTGTGAATCAATGCTTAATCTTAGAGACCAGAAAAGAAGTGTTGATGCAACAACTCCTACCAGTTGTGTAGAAAATGGAGAGGAACCATCCTTATGTGGATCTTCTGTGACAAATACTTGTACTCAAGGAAATGAATTATCAGAACATAACAACACATCAAATTTGTTGCAGTGTTACCCAGTTCCTCCATGGGTATTACCTTGGAATCCAGGTTGGAATAATGTTGCTTCCATGACAACTGTTCATCAATCTTCAGCATCCATGTGTAACCCATATAGCAATGGTCCCACTGCAATGCAATGGTGTACCACACCAATGGTGGGAATTCCAGGCATTTGTCCACCAAGCATTCCTTTGCAACTTGTATCAACATCATACTTGAGTGGAACACCTCTTTGGGCTGCTGGAACTGGGACAGCATCAATAGGATCCAATGCTTGCCTTTCACCTTCTTCCTCCACTAGTAACAGTTGCTGTTCAGGCAATGGCTCTCCAACCCTGGGCAAACACACTAGAGATACAGTTTTAACATATGAAGAGAAATCAGAGAATTGTGTTTTATTTCCAAAGACCATTAGAATTGATGACCCAAATGAGGCCTCAAAAAGTGCTATATGTGCTACATTAGCTATCAAGCCTCATAAGCAGCAGCAATCTGTATCAAATGGTGTTATCTTGGAAACATTAGAACCTGAAGGAGAAGGAAAAGACCCTTTATTGGGTGCCTCTCAAAACTTGGAAGCCAACCCAGCAGCTATTTCCCGTACTCATGCAATACAGGAGATCATATAATGAATTTCTAGCCTCGAATTTTCTGTTGACTTTTTCAGTCAAATAAACTAGTGCATATTGCTTGCTTATTGTTTCTCTTGCAGAAAATCAGTTTCAAAGGTAGTTTTACTTTGTGGAATCTATTGTATGATTTCATTTTAATGGTGTAATTCAATCTTTATTGAGCTATGCTCTTTGAAATTTGATGTTGCCATAGTAAACGATAAATTGATAGTGATTATTTTACTGCAACACTCCTCATTTAAGGGAGTGTAATAGAAAGTAAAGGATGTTATTACTGTATGTTGCCCCCGTCTATTGGTTTGAGAACATGCTTGAGTTCATGATTCAATTCTCCTTTTAGAAATTTAAGATTAGTTTCATAAGGCACCTATGAGTTGGTTTTTGATTTTGATTCCTTTTCTAATTCAAGGAAATAGAACTACCGAAAAAAGTTGAAACATTTTTTTTCGGGACAGGTTATATTTACAAACTTTTTTGTTTACAAACTACACTATGTAGGATCGGTCCTACATTAGTGTAATTGTAAAAAAAGTTTGTAAACAGCTGTCTCTTTTTTTTTTATTTCATTGGAAAGCAATATCAGGAAGGGGGAAAGTCATGGGAATTATAGTCTCTCACGTTTGATCATATAAAAACTTATACTTTTACGCTGGTCAAGTCATATCCTTTTTCTTTAGGGAAACAGTACCCTACTTTCCTTTTTCTTTATCTTTTAATTGTCTAACAAGGATCAAGTCATAATTGGAAATGCTTTGAAGTTCAGTTCTAACCAGGCAAAAGATTGAGTCTTTCATTGCAAGTGCTTTTACTTTATCACTTTATTCAATCTTGGTGCCATTAATCTTATTTACTTAACCAAAGATTGTATCTGTCTTAATAAAAGCCTTCCTCTGAGGACCTACTTTTTACTATGAAAAGATCCCCTCACTAAACAAGTAGGGAGGTATATGTTTTTTTGGTAACACAACCTACGGAATATCTTGCTTTTAAGACTCACGTCAAAAGAATGGTTGAAACTCATTAAATAAAGAATTTTCAAATCCACATAAGTTCTCCAGCTTGGTTATCAGCAATCCGATGCAGACCAGTCCATGTTCATCCATCATGATGGGCCTTCTTTTGTGATCACAAAAATTCATTCGGCCTGCATTGCCTCCAATGCTGAATAAATTTTTGGGTCTTGATGGTCATTTCATATATCAATTTAGGGAAAAATGTGTGTTAAAGTTGTGTCATTTTAAGTGAAAGAAAAAGATAAATCATGTAAGAGAGAATGGACAAAAAAATAAAGGTGTGAATCCAACCTCTTTGTGAGAGTAAAATGACACAAATTTTCCCATCAATTTATTCATGACCCATGACAACCATGGAAGCAGCCCTAAGTGGAATGCGCTTTCTCAAGTATTTCACTAAGCCAAGGTTTCTTGTTTTCTAGTACAAGCCCACTTAGCTTATGAGCAAATTGGGCAGGTTATTCGCCACTAGCAAGTCTAGTACCGACTACATAATTTTTTTTCATCATCTCCTATTTCATGGTGCCCTATGCCAAAAAAAAAAAAAAAAATTGTAATGTTGCTCTTCACCACCCACCAGGAGTAGAATGCGGGTTTATATGCCCACCACCATTAGTGAACTCATCTTATTGGTTTACATCTCTTACTAGTGAGGACGGACTTGTCGGATTTGCAATTACTACACTAGTAACTAAGGGTTCAAGTGTCTAAGAAATGATAATAATGATTCACACATACCAATGCGAATTTTGATTACTACACTAATAATTACTAATTAGGGGTCATGCATTATGAGTTTTTGTTTCTCAATGGTTCACTTGTTTAAGAAATATCAGTAATATTAAGTGTTTCCTTCGTGGATTTTTTTCACATATCACCCAAGTTCTATGTTACGAGTAAAAGAGTAGCAAGGAAGAGACGTGAACCAGCTTGGTCAAAAAACTATTGTGGTGTTTAGTAATTGTAATATTCTTACACGTGTGTAAATAATAGTTGGTTAGCTGATTGGTTAGGTTGTTAGGGTTTGTTACTTTGTAGTTAAGGGTGTTACTCTAGAGGTAGGTGGGTTAGCAGAACAGATCATATATAGAGAAATTGGAAGATGCGATTCTCATATCTGATGAACAAAGAATTTCTTTCTCGATACTATCACGTATCAACTGGTGCTTTCATTTACTTGAGCTCCATCATCATGAGGGTTCAAGATTTGGCCGAGGAGTTTGTGTCTCGTCGTCTTGAAGTGCATAAACGTTTCGAGCACATCATCGATTCGCCAGATGCTCGAATTGCAGCAATCGAAGCATGCCTTCATGAGTTGGTGACAATGCCTCAAGTATCACAACCTTCACCGATTCGTGTTTCTGAGACGAATGTAACAATGGAGAATCGGAATTAGTTGATGTTATGCAAGTACGTGAGGATGGAAATCCTAATCTTTAATGGCCAAGATCCGAACAACTGGGTCTTCAAAACAAAAGTGTATTTTTGCCTACAACCGGTACCTGATCATCTGAAAGTGCAGCTAGTGGAGATGAAAATGGAAGAGGCCGCTGCTCTTTAGTACCAATGGTCGTTCAACAGTGATACAATAGCTTCGATGGGACGTAAATTCGTTCTCATCTAAGTCCATTTTGATGGCAAAATACCATCTGTTCCCTCATCTGATGAGCAACTTCAGCATGAAAATCACTTGTTTTACACATTTGTGACAAAAACACAGTAGGGGAAAGGATGATGATGTAATCTTTGGAAAACATATTAAAAGGGGAACGGATTAAGAGCATTTATTACACCTGCTCCACTCATTTAATGCTTCTGTTCATTTTGCAGGAAACGTGGAAACAACGTCTTCTAAAAGCAAAGGTGGCGCACCACTTAAGCACCAAGAAACGTGAACAGCGGAGAATCAAGAGTTCTCATTGGCTAAGAAGAACGCTGTTAGTCTTAATTTATACTTGATTTAGTAGTAATTTTCCTATAGTTTTTGGGCTGATTTTGTCTAAGTGCAGGTAAAAGTGGGCCAAACTTAAAGGAGTAAGCCCAAGATGGTAAAAAAAGAAGTAAAAAAAAAAGAATTTAACTTTTCACTAATATTTTTTACATTATAATGCAGAAAATGACACATGGCAGATTAAAAGATGAAAGATGAGATGAGGTGGCAAAGTAACAACCGTTGGATACTCTTCTAATCTGAAGGACATCAATCGGCTTTAGAAAAAAAGAGAGTCTCTGTGTTAAAAGAGGAGGGAACGCATACTTTTAGAATCACACTTTTCGTTAGATATAAAAAGAGAGAACTCAGTTTTAGTTTAAATCTGTTTTTTACGTTTTTCTCTGAGCGCTGAAATTTTTCCTTTAAGCTTTCTTGGAGTAACCTCATTCTTGAAGGGATTCAGGAAGAGATTTCTGCATGCAATTTCCGATCAGTAACTTCGTTCTTTAGTTTCTCTTTGATTGTACCAATTTCAGATTCAAGATTTATTGGTCTGTACCCTTACTCTTTACGATTTCTTTACTTTGTGAATGAAAATCATGCTTAATTTTGTTTCAGATTTTATTTTAGTTTTAATTTTCAACATGCATTGCTAAATCTTTTCTGGAATTCTGATGGAGATGATGAGTACCCATTTATAATCTGAACTGTTGTGCATATGCTTGATGTTTGAGTAGTAAATATTTTTTGGTTTAAGTTCCATGGGAATGGGCTTAAAGATTCTTGCATGAACTGATATTGGAAAATTTTAGTTTATGCTTTTCATTAATTCAAGTTTCCTAGATTAGGAATAATCTAGGAAAGAATCTGATTACAAGTCATCAATAAAATGATTCAAAATTAAGGGATTAATGTGAATCATTTCACAAACTAAATTTGGGAAAGTTTAGTGAGATTCTATAAAAAGTCAGATTTCGTCAATTTTAGGTGCTACAGCAGTTAAAATGCAGACATGTAATTTTCAGGAAAAATCATCAAAGTCAGAATTCTAGATTTCTTAATATTCATTTTTACTCTTATAAACGTGATCTTGTTGTTCTTAATATAGTTTACAATTCAGAAAATACAATTTTCATTGCAAAAGATTAACTAAAAGAAACCGAATTTCCCGTTCCCAGAGAACGATAACTCTTTCATCTTTTGAAAAATACTTCCAACAAAATGGCGTTGTTGCCGGGGAATGGTTCTTTTTATCCATGAAGTCGATGAAACAACTTCATTTGCAGCTCAACTTGCTGCCTTAAATAAAACTATAGAAAATATTGCCAAGGTGGTGGTGGAAGAAAGGAAACTAGCACCTGCTCCAGTAGCTGCTACAACACTTATCTGCTCCTTGTGTTATGGTCCTCATGTGTTTGAGGAATGCCCCAAAAATCCAACATCAGTTCTCTATGTGGGTGATTTCAACTGTAACTACAACAACCAAAACCACTTTAATCAACAAGGATGGCAGCAATCATTCCAGCTTGAGGGGCCATTTCCACATGGTTTTATGTCATTTCAACCTGAGGTGTCATTCCCACTTGGTTACATGCAGCCATCTCCTACTGACCAGCAAAAGTCAAACAATGTTGAAGTTCAACCTTCCACAGAGCAGTGGATGAAAGAATACTTGGTAAAAAATGACCAAGTGGAAGATACAGTTTCAACCCTCCTCGAAAGTAATGGAGCTATGTTGAGAAGCATAGAAACTCAATTAGGGGATCTAGTTTTAGCCATTAGCAATAGACCTTTAGTAGCACTCTCAAGTGATACTGAAATACGAAGGAGACAAGGAGAGGAAGCTAGTAAAAAAACCCCAATTGAGGAGTGGCAGAGAAGTAGATCATCTAGAGCCTGTTATAAGGCCATCTATCTTGAAGAAATTAATGGAGAAGGAAGGGCAACAAGTGGCTAACACTATTACAGCTGAACCATTAACCATTCAATCTACATCTCAAGAGGAAGATAAGGAAGAAGACACCTATGTTAAACCAGTAAGGGCGGTGCTGAAATCAAAGACACCAGACAAGTTAGTGCAGAACAATGAAGCTCCTCAACTAATATCAAGGGCAAGACAACTCCATTTTCCTCAAAAATTCCAAAAATAGCAAGAAGAGCACTACCTCTCAAACAAATTGCCTCCAAAGCTGGAAAATTTAGGTTCTTTTACAATTTCATGTGCAATAGAAGATAGGTATGTTGGTAGAGCCTTGTGTGATCTTGGCTCTAATATTAATTTGATGCACACTTCTATTGTTAAACAACTTGGAGTGGCAGCCTCTCCTACCACAATAACTCCTCAATTAGTTGATAGGTCACTTGAACACTTTGATGGAAAAATAAATAACATATTAGTGAAAGTTTATAGGTTTATTTTTCCAGCAGATTTCATAATACTTGATTTTGAAGCTACCAAGGAAGTGCCTATTATATTGGATAGGCCATTCTTGGTTAAAGAGGATGCTATTATTGATGTTAAAACAGGTGAGTTGAGTGTGAGGGTCAATGAGGAAAATATGGCATTTAAGGTCTTGAATGCCACGAATTCTATAGATGAAGATATTGATGGTTGTTCACCTATATCTATGTTTGATCATTTGGTTGCTAACCATGTGCTTTTAAGTAGTGAAAATGATAGCTTAGATATAGGAAGCTTTGAACTAATAGAGCCTAAGCCAGCTAAGTTTTTTGAAGACAATCAATTTGAACCATTAGGATTGCTTGATAAGGATCTGAACTCCAGCTCCTTACATCAACATGGAAGGCTTAGTCCACTCATAAAAGAAATGGTTCAAATGAAAATAATGAATTGGTTGGATACAGGACAAATTGTTCTAAATTTGAAGATAAGAATCAAGTTATTTCCAATCAAGTTTAGATGGTTAAAGCATTACTGGAGTAGGCATGTGAACAAGGAAAAGACTTTCATTTCTTTATTGGATGCTGGATGAACCATTAAATGATTTTAGTAGTTTAAGTTTGCTAGTGTGCTTGTGCAGTTAGTATAGGATGTTTAGTCTGTGTAACTTTTGTATTGTTTTAATTTTCACTTTTTGTTTAGTTTAATTTTTGTATCTTGTCTTGCATTTTTTTTAGTTAGCTAGTATATTTTCCTTTGCTAAATAAAAAAAAACGTGAAGTGATGAGTATGTTGGTGATTGAATAGTGTACCTTAAGAATGTAAATTGGGAACTAGAGGTGTGGTAAACTTTGGGGTATTTGAGATAGTTTTTGTGAATGCTGATTGAGAATAAAAGAAACCAATCTTAAGTGCTATAGCAACTAAAATGTGAAGGAATTGAAGTTTAGAAGGAGGCACGTGAGTTACAAGAAATTGATAACTCACATCTCTATGCTCATCTTTGAGTATGTCCTCGGCAGATTCAGACTTGAATCGGGCCCTTGTAATATTCTATTTTGCTTAGGATTAGGATTGGGCCACTTAATGAAGTTTTTAAGCCCAACATATAACAATGGGTATGTTATTTCTTTACAGAATAAAAAAATAACAATAAAAAAATAAAAATAAAAATAGATAAATAAAAATAAACACTAAAATAAATATTCCAACTCTTTTTCAAATCTGACAACTGTCAGACTCTTCTCTTTCTCCGCAAATCCTTCTCAAACACATCAGCAGACTTTGATGGAAAAGCAAAATATTTTTTTCACTATGTTGAATGAGGTCTCCACCAGTGCAGAGTTATTTCCCACAGTGTTTTAGGCCATTAAATGGACCTCAGATGCTACCAGTAGCTTCAGTATAGATTTTTATGGGTGACAACCCATTACATCTGACATATGCCATCACCCAACTACACTATCATTATACTCTATCCCCTCACATTAAACCCTAATCCTCTTTTACTAATTTTTTTTTTCTTTTTCTCTCTTACTCTTCCTCTCTCACTCCCATCGTTTCTCTTCTAGGAATTACAAAGCAAAACACTCTAAGCTTCTTCTAAAAGCATTCATTCCTGCTGTCCATATCTCTCATAAACCCATTTATCTTTTTCGTTTTCCCTGTACCTAAATCATCAAGACGCAATACGCAAAACACTTTAATAAAATTGTTAGCCATTTTTTGACATGGGAATTAGTTCTGTTTTTATTATTGTTATTATCAATGGGTCAAAAATTCTTACAACCTCAACTATGTATTCCGGATAATACATATATGCTTGAGAATATACTCTCCGGAGTACATAATTAAATTTACAAGAGTTTTTGTAAATATAATATTTTCTATGTCTATTGCTTCTTATATTGACAATAGGCGATCACATAAGCTCGCTATTAAATTCTAATGTGATTTTGCCAAATCACGCCATGTTTTTGCGCTTGTAGTTCTAAAAATCAAACATAGCACCGATTTAATTTTTTTTGCAAACTATTTACCTAACTAATGTGAGTGAAACATTCATGAGAAGTGTGAGCATTTAAGTCAGTATCACTTCCATTCGCAACTTGTGTAAAATCAAAAAAATGTTTGTCACATGTCATGCAATGCAAAACGTGTATTAGGGGTATGTGCCAGTGCCACTTGAGGGTGCATGACCAAGATGTGTTTCTTGCATTGCATTGATTTTTGCACAAATCATGCATGGAGTTATGTGTGACTTAGACACACCCTATACATTAGTTGGATAAATAATTTGTCAAAAGAACTAAACCGGTGCCATGTTTTTGTTTTTGTTTTTGCATTAGAGTGGTCAAAAAGCTGTCAAATCTAATTTATACAAGCGATTATTTTTTCTACAATATTTTCTAATATCTCATTTAATTTGATTAACTGATCTGAGTTTATCTATAAATAAAAATGGAGGTTATATGTACAATCATTTTTCCTTACAATTTTTTACTATCATTTTTTTATTATTTTATTAAAATTAAATCAACAATTATAAAAGGACATCAAATGCGAGTTGTTGATTTGATTTGATCCCAACAATAACAAAAAAAATTATAAAAATTATAAAGGAAGAATAATTATAAATATATAACCTACCTCGTAAATAAATTAATAATTATCCTTTTATCCCTCTTTATGACCTTACTCATTTTCTCTCTTATATCTTGTCACTGTTATTTGTTTAAAGATAATTGAATCATTTCACGATACCTTGATTTTTTTTTTTATAACAGATACCTTGATATTTTAATCGAGACATAAAAAAGAATCTGTTTTCCTTAAAGAATCCGATTCCCTAAAATTTTGTGTAACCTTATTTATATCTAAAGACCGGTCAAATTGTTTCCAAAAAAAAAAAAAAGACCGGTCAAATTTGGAAAAGACAAATGTTTGGTGGCCTGTCAAAAGCCAGGCATGTCACAATTCGACGAATCACATAAGGTCACCACATGAGCCATGTTAAGTATTCCAGCATTTTTTTTTAACATTTAAAGTTTTAAATTAATTAATTACTGACAAGTGACAACTTAATTATCTTAGGTAATATTGTTTATCATTCGACTCACGGGTTTAAAATTTGTTTCTAAAAAAATAAAAACACATTAAATAATCATAAAGACATTATGAACTAATAATTAACTCACCAAAAATTGACATCAAACACGTGAACTAACTGGAAGCGATTGTTTCAGTTTAACGAGTAGTTTTAAGTTCGAGTTCATGAAAATATGCTTACGTTAAAACTTAGTAAAGAGCTTCGTTCGATTCGGAATAATCGAGTAATCGATGAACTGATAAATTATATAAAAAAATAATTAAATCATATGCGCAGCCAAGTATAAATTTAGTGTAGGATTTTATGTATAGGAATAACAAAATTGTAAACAGAAAAGGAATTTAAAGGAATTTAAAATTTACAAAAAAGAAAAGAAAAGGAATTTAAAGGTTATACATCTAACGCTGCTCATCCTGCTCTTATTAATGTTTGCAAAATAATGAACTAAGGGAGCGTTTGGTACAGGAGAAATTTTTATTTGTCCGGGAATCTCAATTTTTAAAAATATAATTTTTACATTCAGTTTACGATAATATCCGAAAATTTAAAATTTAAAAAAAATCAGTTTCCCGAGAATCCGGCCAAATGCCGTGTACCAAACGCCCCCTAACGGAAACAATTTTTCACGGTGACTTCGCATGAATGAGAGTCCACAAAATAAAAAGAAAGTCAAAGTGGATAAAGAATATGTGAAATTCTCTCGAGATTGCTAGCTCCCAACATTGCAATCTAGTTGCGTTAGTTGAAAACCCTGCAATTCTTGCGAATTTCTCCTTCATCTCCAACCAGAACTTCAATCTTTCCCATCTTTATCATTGCATTTGCAAAACTCTTTTGGAACTTATTATTATTGGATGCAAAACCTGACACAAAATCCTTTGTAGTTGTATCCAAGGCAAGTTGTTGATCAATCTGCAATATACCCCTTTTAACAAGAACCTGTTTGTAGAACTGGTTATCAACAAGAAAAGGTGTCTTCTGATCCAAAAATGCAGCAGGGTCATCGCTCAAAGTAGAGTTACATAACTTAGCAAGCTTAGCTTCTAAGGCAGGGTCCATTGAAGGGTCAGGAACCCTACCAAGTCTATTAGAAAAAAAATTGCAGTGTGCAACACCAACTGTATGTGCACCCAAAAGGGTCACCATTTCCTCTGTTGTTATGCCCTTTTTTGCAAAAATTTGTGATGCTAATGGCACAGGAGTGGAGGGTCCTGGCAAATCAACTTCATTACTGTTAGAGACTAATCCATCATGTCTTCCTGTGGGAACAACGTATTTGGATCCTCCAGATAAGGCAACAGCATCTCTTGTTGCTAATGTTATGATATCTGCACACGACACTGTTGAAGGACATGTAGCTTCAAGGCTTTCCTTCACCTCATCAATCAGATCATATCCTCTAACGGTAGCGTTTGCAGTTGTATTTTTCTCTGATGTGTTATTCTTGGTTGAGTCTATGAGTATGGATGCATCACAACCCTGCACAAGGAAGAAATGTTTTAATTGTCATGAATTGATGTATACGAAAATGCATGTTATTTAAGAGAATGACTTTTTTTTAATTATTATATTTTACAATATATCTAACTAAATTGCTCTTACCCTAACAAAACAATCATGAAAATGCATGCGAAGTAAGGCTGCTGTTATGGATTTGTCACGATTGAATCGGTTTTGCACCACTTGCTGCACAATTGACTCTGCTTTTGGGCATGTGGAGCCATAGAATCCAACCTGCAGTTCTGCAAATGCCACGGGAAGTATAAAGAAAAAGATTAGAATTATTATCTTCATTTTGGGTCTCTTTTGACTCTTTTCCTTACTTCTTTAGTATTCTCTAATTTTGAGTACCTCTCAAGATGGAAATTGAGTTTCTATATATAGAAAGAGAATGGAGGCTTAAGATGGTGGAAGTTGCCGCCTGAAAATTTTGAAGCTTGTGTATTGCAAAGCATGGACTAATACAGCCAAAATATGGATTGGACTTTGAAAGTTATTCAATTCAATTAAGGATACTGAAATTTGGACTATATAATTATTTTTTTCTTGAAAGCGAAATGGCAGCTTAATTAATGTTCACCACAAAACTACAAATTATATCATATAATTTACTTAATTATTATGACCATAGAATAGCATTGACAGAAATACTACTCAAGACACCAAATTATTGGGGAAACTTCAACGATGCTGAAGTTAGTCATTGTGCCGGTTATTGTTGCATGTAGAAATTTATATTATATACTTTTAGATAGTTTTAATTATATGTTTTTTAGTAATGAGCCTCACCTTGGTAAAAGTTTAAATCCAAATGGTGGTACCTCATTTGGTGCATAGGAGCTGAGCAGTGAAAAGAAAAAGACCTAAGTTCGATCCCCACATCATATTTTGGAGAGATTTAAAATTTTTATTCCTGATCTGTCCCGCACTCCGCCGGCCCAAAGGGTCAAAGCTTGTGGCCTTGTCAGGATGTTGGGAGTAGCCTACTCTCCTTATATAGGTAATTAAGGTATGTTTAAAAAAAAGGCCCTTAGTTTGGTCATGTTGCAGCAATTTTTTTTCCCTACAAAGACAAGTAAAATAATAATAAAAAAATTAAAAGAGACAAATTTTATTTTGTCGATAGTCTTGCATGACAGCAACCTTGTTCATGTAACATAATTGTTATTAATCCCTTAAAAAAAATAGGTAAAAATTTAAATAATAAGTTGTTATTCTGTGTTTTGAACTCTTGTTATATTCCGGAATTATTTCATTACTTTTGGATGTCAAGTTGTGTTATAATTATAAATTTTATATAATAATGTTAGAGAATAAAATATAAAGTATTAAAAAGACCATCACCTATCACTTTAAGGTTTTGGGTTAAATTGGCGCTTAATATAACCATCACCTATCACCCTAAGATTTTGGGTTGAATTGACACTTAACAAATAATGACTTGAATTATTGTTGTTAAATATATCGTTATGCAAATTAAGCTTGTTAGATTATTCAATGATAATTGTGTGTCAGCTCGAAAATTGGACCGTAACAGTATACTTCAGGTTATAATTAGAAAAGTTTAGCACGAAATTACAAATTATATCATATAGTTTGCTTAATTATTATGACCATAGAATTGCATTGACAGAAAAACTACTCAAGACAACAAATTATTGGGGAAAGTTCAACGATGCTGAAGTTAGTCACTGTGCCGGTTATTGTTCTATGTAGAAATTTATATTATATACTTCCAGCTAGTTTTAATTATATATTTTTTATTTGTGAGCCTCGCCCTTTATTTATATAGGTAAAAGTTTAAATAATAAGTGTTATTATGTGTTTTGACCTCTTATTATATTCTACAATTATTTTTGCAAGTCAAGTTGTATTATAAATTTGATTAATTTTATATAACAATAATTTGAATTATTGTTGTTAATATATCGTTATGCAAATTAAGCTTTGTTATGGACCTACACAAGGCCATATGTATGTAAAGTTCAGTAAAGGATAAGTGCGCATAAGAATATAGTTGGGCCTATTGATTGTAAGATCCAGAATTTCAATACCATCATGTAAATTCTATAAATAGGAGATAAATCCTACGAGTATGACCAAATCTTTCTCTTACGATTAAGCTGTCACTCTGCCTGCACACACACCAATGACACCATCCATTTGGCTAACGCCGTTAATAATTGTGTATAGTGATCTAATTTCTCAAGTTATCTAATTAATAGATATCTAGATCTAGAGAGAGTACCTAATTCTATATTGATTTAATGATAACTGTGTACGTGAGCTCGAAAATTGGATCGTAGCAATATACTTCAGGTTATAATTAGAAAAGTTTAGCACGAAAAGGGATATCACATTCAATAATTATTTATGTTCTAATATGAAAAAAGATAATTGGAAATGTTCCAGGTTTTTTTGTCTCACGGATGAAGTCAGAAAGTGAATTACAATTCACAACTCACCTTCAAATAATTATTTTATAACACTTTATAAATATGATCATCCTAACCACTTAGGCATACACGTTACAAGAAAATGTATTATATTTAAGAAAAAAGAAGAAGGATGAACTGAATTTATTTTTTTATTTTTTCTCGGTGTCCCCTTATTGCCTGCCTCTTTTGCAGATGACATGGTGAGAGTTAACTTCCCACGCGTATGTGATGCTATTAGCATTCTTATTGGCGTATATGCTGTAGTTTAACTTTATAAAAAAAAAACTTTATATATTTCTCTAGGCTTTTTGACCCTTTTGTCCCTCATTAATTAATTAATAACTAATTTGCCCCTGATCCAGAACTATCCACCAACTTGCCCATTTTAGTTGACTACCTTGCTTTTTTAGTCGAGCAAATGGTCAAAATTCAGAAAGTGGACTACAACAAATTTAGTCGAATAAAAAATCATCTTAATCGACTACATTTTTGGGATATTTAGTCGACTAAGTAACGATATTTAGTCGACTAAATATTGACTGAAACCCTATATTTTCCATCTTTTCGGTCTTATTTCGATTGTTGTTGTTGTGTAAACCTAAATAGCTCCCTTTGTTCATGTGTAATCCTCTCAATCCGATTGTATTTCATCCCACCATCTCTACAGACCTAATATTGTGAAATCATTGTCATTGCCCAATTCCAAACCCCAAAATCCGAACCCAAACCCCCAATTTCAGAACCCTAGATGCATTTATGGTTTAAGATGCTTGCATTTGATGTAATGTCATGTAACTGAAAAAAATGAACGGGTTGATGTCATGATGTTTGTATTTGAATGTAATGACGGTGCTATGTTTGTATTTGATGTCATGATATTTGTATTTGAAAAAAAATGAACGGGTTGATGTAATGATGCTTGTATTAATAAATTATATGTGTTTAAATTGTTACAACGCAGATTTGGTGCGCATACACCAACGTTTTGACACAGTACGTAAACCATGTATGAATTTAACTTCATCTTAGTTTTTTGACTCGGAAATTATGCTCCCTAAGTCACACTTCCTTAGTGGATCAGTGTAGAGTGGAAACCAAGGGCAAAAACATGTGTAATTCGGATTTTGGGGTCCTAAACCAACAATTTAGTCGATTAACCTGTATTGTAGGTTAATCGACTAAATTGTTGGTTTAGGACCCCCAAATCCGAATTACACATGTTTTTTGCCCTTGGTTTCCACTCTACACTGATCCACTATGGGAGTGTGACTTAGGGAGCATAATTTCCGAGTCAAAAAACCGACGTGGACATTAAATTCCTAAAACGAAGTCGTATATTGTCATAACGTTTGTTTACGGTTAACAATACAAGATGTAGCCTTTTTAAACACATATACTGATTTGCTGTGATGTGTTATGGACGAATGTGACCTGTTCAATATTGTTTTGTGCCGTGATGATCAAATTGCTAAAAAGGTTCCATTCATAAGTTATACAATATTGAAATGGAATTCAATTCATTACACAACATAACATAGATCCAAAAAACATAACAATTCTGCATTCATTAAAAAAAGTTACGGGACATCAACAACTTAAAGGAAATACATGAACAAAACATAATAACATGATGTAAACCCTAAATCTACTCCTCATCCCCGTCTGTGTCCGTCTCCGAGTCGTCCTCATCTGACACATGACCCCATCCCCTGCTGCCTCAGCTACCTCCCCACCTCTTGCAAGCTCCAGACGAGCAAGCCTGTCTTCCACACCCTTAAACCTTCCCTGTATGTGTCTAAACCTTTCATTCCCTTTCTTTCTCCATTTTTTATGTGCTAGCGCCATCTTTCCTATCTTCTTTGTCATTGCATTTATGCCCTTCATGACATCACGCAGTGAAAATCCACCTTCAAGTTCAGCTATCTCCTCAACCTCAGCCACATCCTCCTCCTCCACCTCTGGCTCAACAATGTGGTCATCTGGGGCAACATAAGGAACCTCAACCTGGGGCATACCACTGAACTCCCACACACCCGATCTTGTGTTCTTAGTAATCTTGCACTGCTCCAATAAACGCTTTCCGAACTTGCAATTATAGCCCGTGGTCTTCTTCAACAGCTCAGTCTCCATGGGAACACCAAAGTGAACCAATATCCTTTGTACCAGACAGGCGTATGGAAGATGACCCTTATGTTTGGCCTTAAACATAAACCAACAGATATAGTGCCTCCAGTTCACCATCTGGGCATGTCGGATAGCCCACATAATGGGAATGTCATGTTCCAACACCCTGGAATGATTAAAAGATCGCGGAAACAGAACGTGGGTGAGGACATAGTGTAGTATACGGGACTCCACAGAAAGCAACCCCACCCTATAGTGCAAGTGTTCCCCACGGACTCTTCTCTGCTCCTGCACGACATCCTCTCGTACATATCCTGGAAGTACTACACCACTATCAGCGTCATACGCCACAGTCTAAGAAGAGTCAAAATCATAGCCGAGTATCTCCAACCATGCAGGTGCCGTCATGATGATCTCTATTCCACAGACCCTCGACTTCAGCTCGCCCTGTACGAATGAAGCGTGGATGGCAGGGTCGTCCTCAAACAGATACCGATACGGGAGGTCAACAGTATCAGGCTCTTCGTCTTGTGGCCTTGACGAAGAAGGCCGCTCTTGCCTATGCTTGGTGCGTATCTCAAGTGACTCATTGCCCTCATCGCTTGGTCTTCTGCGGCCCGTCATTTGTTTAGGGTACCTACAACGAAACATGTCAGCATTTAACTCTATGAAACATGTCATGATGGTAATGAAAACTTGCAACATAAGGGCTGTAAACCAAAAACAAACTTT